TTCAGTGGCATGGCAACATAAGTTCACGAAAAGATTCATTGTTGGCCGACAGGACAAGAGCATGGAGAATGTCATCACCTGATGGTGTGTGTGGTGCAAAAGAAATGGTTGGTTTATCAGAGGGTCACTCACTGCATCAGAGTTGTCATCCTTTACTTTATAATAATTGCATCAAAATTCTATCATTTCGGTCACACATCATCTTTATCACCTATATTTCATATAGAGAAAATATTCATTTTTAAAAATTCATTTCATTTTATTTTTAAACAATTTATTTTTGGCAATTTTTCCCTGACCCTAGATGCTTCACATTTTCAAATCCCCACTCCCGTGGCAAATACGGTCCTGATGACATGAAATTGGCTATCCATCACCTTTGGATATGTATATTTGTCTTTGATATTCACATTTTTTGAACAATAGGCGCAATATTCTGAAGATTGCGTAGGCCTATTATTTGTTACGATGTTTGAACTGCAATTTCGAAGGGAATTTCAATCCAGTCACCATTACCAAGTAGTCGCAATAAACCAGCGATTTTATCTGATCGTTAAAAATGATGAAAATATGATTTTAAAATAAAAGCATTGGATATTATACTACTACTTAAGACTACTGGGAAAATGTCAAGGATTTAAATTCAAAATTAGCCAATTCTTTTAGTGTAGGGTTATTTTAAATCCCGAAATAAAGACGGATGAATGAAAGAATTATCTGTAGCAGCTTAAGAACATGGACGAATAAATTTTCCTGATCTGACAGGAAATTCCAGACTAAAACCGTGATTTTGTACAGGAATCGAATTAATAATGAACGAGTTTCATTAAAATGAGAAAGATCTTTGCTAAGCCATACTCAGACGTTCAGTCTCGCCATTCGAATTTAAATGCTAGATATATCTTGCAGTAATTAGTCACATGACTTTATAGCTGACACACTTAGTGCGTATCGTATCAGAACAGAACACCGTCGATGCGCAACAACCGAACATTTAATAATATTAATAGCCAGCGAACTTTATTTCAAACAGGAAAGAGTGTTTAATGTTAAGAAATCAAATTAGGTCATTTAGACCTAAGAGCTACGATGGTGGTGATGGTGGTGGTAGTGGTTGTTGTGGTTGTAATGGCGGTGGTGTTTGTGGCACAAACGAAATAGTTTATGCACGAGCACCGAATAAAGTCACGTCGTTCCAACGGATACGACAAATTTCAATTTCAAGAACAACCCTCAAAGGACAACGCTCCTGTATACGACTAAGAAAAAAGTGGTGTTCAATTTACAATGAAATTTTAAGATCATTATTATTGTTATCGCCTTGTATTGTGTCTCTGACGCATTTCAGTTTCGGCATATTAAACTTATGTTCCATAGATGTAGTTTTCAATTTAATTCAAAGATTCAATTCTTACACTAGTGTGCCCAGTTGTAACTTTGCGTATAACCTGGTATACCTTACTTGAGTTGTCTTTCACTTTTGCTATGTGATAAAAACAAATGAAGACAATACAGAATTGTCGTAGACAAAATTGTAAAAAAAATCGAATAGGCCTAGCGTATGCGAATACACGCCCCCGTGTTTATTCGAGGTAGGCTTTAATTTTTTGGTGTAAATGGATTCGTATACTCATACACGCCCCTTAATTTCACTGTAAATGTGGAACTACAACACATAGGCCTTATTACCGTCAAAATGTGTTATTGCGTGATCATAAAGACTGATCACAACCAGGTAGAACAAAATGTAATTATATAACATTAATAGAATGTGTTGAGAATTTATTCGAGGGGGAGGCGTTTATTCAAAATGTGAACCCGGCCCTTCCGCTTTATATGCAGACGCGCCCCCCCCCCCACCCCCCTCAATTTTTCAAA